TGATGCTGATGCTGCTGCTGATGATGATGATGATGATGATGGCGATGCCGCTGTGGATGATGACGACGATGCTAATGATGATGATGATGTGGATGATCATGCTGATGATGATGTTGATGCTGCTGATGATGACGATGCTGATGGTGATACTGATGATGAGGAGGAGGAGGAGGAGGAGGAGACGAAATGAGAGGAGGATGAGCAGGAGGAAGAGGAACAGGAGGCGTTGGATAGGTGCATACTTCTACGCGCTCCCCCTCATCCTACCCCTCCTCGAAGGCGCCACTCCAGTGCTCTTCGTCACCGTCATCTCTAAACCACCTCCTCTTACTCCTGTTCCTCCTCCTCCTCCTCCGCCCTCCTCCTCCTCCTCCTCCTCCTCCTACTCCTCTTCCTCCTCCCCCTCTTCCTCCTCCTCCTCCTTCCCCTCCCTCTCCCTCTCATCCTCCTTCATGTTGCCCCATCGGCACTGGTGCGCCTTCATGACCCTGTTCGTCGGCGCCCGGCCGCGTGCGTCCTGGCTCTGCAGGTGGTTGCGGAGGGGGAGCCAGTACAGCGATGCCCACGCTGCCTCTAGGGGGAAGCATTGCGGGTTCCTCGTTCACCCCGTTCCTCCTCCATCCCTTACCCCACCTTTTCTACATAATACATACCCTGTTCTCCACCTCTCCTCCTCGTGCTCCCGTCCTTATCGTCATCATCGTCTGTTCATTCGGGCCTCCGCGCACTTCTGGGAGATGCGCAGCGTGTCCGTGATCGTGCCCAGCGCTTCTGCCATGGTGATCCACACCTGGAACTCACCCCCAGTGGCCCCATCCTCCCCGTCCTCTCTCACAGTCCTTTCTCTCGTCATTGATCCACCTTCCTCGCGCCTCCTCGTCACATCCCCCCCCCCCCTGAGCCACAATTCTCTTGCAGGGCTGGTCAGTGTCGTCCCATTCCCCGGCTGCTGGATCGTACGCTATCCTCATTTCCCTGATCGTTGTCACGTTCTTCCTCATCCTCGACTCTCCTCCTCAATCCCCCTCCTCGTGGATCCGCCCCCTCCTCGTGTCAATTGTGGTACTCTCATATTTTCCCCCAGTGCACCTTGATCGTCACTCTGTTCGGACGCGAAGTGCACTCCTGCTGGCAATCCTCGAAGTTCGGGATCTTCGTACCTTGATGGGGCGACGGTGACGACACGGAGGATGGCGCACCAGGGGAAATAGCAGGAGTGAGCTGGCAATGCAATGAGAAGGAAGAGGAGGAGGGCCATGTGAAGGCGAGGCAGAGAAGGAGGCGGAGGAGGAGAAGGATGAGGAGGGAGGGGAAGGGAAAACCCTGTGCAGGAGCAGGAGCCGAGGAAGCATTGAACGCATGCTGATCGACCGAGAGGCAGATCTGCAGAGTTGGGCGAGGGCGAGGGGACGGATATCACGATAAGGAATGATTGAGAGGTGGAGGAAGAAGGGCACCCGCGATGACTGGCTGGCCCTCGGTGTACAGCAGCGCCTGATGGCTGGGTGCGTCCCTCCCCCACCCTGCCACTAGTCCTCCTGGCACCCCCTGCTCCTGAGGCATGCTCGTGATCCTCGTGATCATCCCGATCACGAGGATCAAGAGCATGTGCAGGCCTGCTCCTAGACCACCTGATCATCATCGTCCCTCATTATCGCCAGTCTTACCGATCTTCCTCATCTCCTGCCGATCCTCGTCGTCCTCCTCCTCTCCCGTGTCCCCCTTCACTCCCTCACTCCCTGCCTCGCTCCCTCGCACTCCTCCTCCTCCTCCTCCTTCTCCTCATCGAGCCCCCCCCCCTTCTTCTCCTCATCATCATCGCCACCACCACCGTCATCATCATCATCAGCAACAGCAGCATCATCAGCAGCATCACCACAACCACCAACATTCATCATCATCATCATCATCAGCATCATCATCGTCGTCATCACCGTCAACATCATCATCATCACCATCAACATCACCGTCGTCATCCTCATCATTACCACCATCACCATGACAATCATCATCACCGTCATCATCAGCATCATCACCATCACCAGCATCAACACCATCAGTAGCAGCATCATCATCACCAGCATCAGCATCAGCATCATCATCATCATCATCCCTCCTACCTTTTCCATTATTCTCCTCCGTTCCCCATCTGCCACCCTCCTCTACCTTTTTCTCTCTCTCTCTCTCTCTCTCTCTCTCTCTCTCTCTCTCTCTCTCTCTCTCTCTCTCTCTTTCTCTCTGTTCTATCGCTTTCCCTCTCTCTCTCCATCTCGTCATCTCTCGTTGCGTGTGTCCCTCTCGTTCTCTCTCTCTCTCTCTTTCGTCTCCTTCTCTCTCTCTCTCTCTCTCTATCTTTCGCTATAATATCTTTCTCTCCCTCTCTCGCTCTCTCGTTCTCTCCCCCACTTTCTCTCTCCCCTCCCTCGCTCTCTTCCTCTCTCTCGATCATGTGTCTTTATCCCGCTCTCTCTCTCTCTTTCTCTCTCTATGTCTCTCTTTTTTTTTGTTCTCTCTCTCTCTCTCTCTCTCTCTCTCTCTCTCTCTCTCTCTCTCTCTCTCTCTCTCTCTCTCTCTTATATATATATATATATCCTCTCTCGAGATGCATATGCATGTACATGCGCGTGCACACATCCCACCCTCTCTTGATTTATCTTTCTCCATCTCTCTCTCTCTCTCTCTCTCTCTCTCTCTCTCTCTCTCTCCCTCCCCGCTCCTCCGCCCATGGAGCCTTCGCGATGTCCTCTGGCCCCTTCGTGCTGCGCGCGCGTCGACGGCACTGCAGCTTCGAGGCGTCGACGCCAGCACCCTCGTCGAACCGATGAAGAAGGGCGAGAAAACAAGAGGGCGAGGAGGAGGAGGAGGAGGAGGGGCGGAAGGATGAGCAGGAGGATTGATGATCTTGACACGATTTTCGATGGCGATGTGGAGGATTGCGAACGACGAGGATTGTGGAGGAGTAGGCGAAGGACAGAAAAGGAGGAGGAGTGGGAGGAGGAGGAAGAGGAGGAGGAGGAGCAGCAGGAGAAGAAGGAGGAGGAGGAGGAGGAGGAGGAGGAGAAGCCTCGGGATCGAAGACTGGGATCCCTGCGCGGTCGCACGCCTCGTCGAAATTGAGCCCGAACTGGAAATTGTCTTCGATGAATGCCTCGATCCCACTCCTCTCCTCCTCGACCCTCCTCGGTCTCTCCGATTCTCGAACCGAAGGAGAAGGGCGATTAAGTGAAGGGACTAGGAGGCAACAGGAGGATGAGGAGGAGGAGGGAAGAGGAGGAGAGATGATATCACGAGTGCGACGGAAGAGGAGGACAAGGAATAAGAGGGGAGGAAGATAATCACAAAACAAATGGAAGAGGAGGATTGAGGAGGAGGGCGAGGAGGAGGAGGGGGAACGTGACATAGAAATGTGTTTGTAGGTATGGGGAGAGAATGAAGAGAGGGGATGGGAAGGCGGGGGAGGAAATAGAATGAGCAAGCGAGGAGGCAGGAAGAAAAAGAAGGCGGAGAGGAGGATGGGGGCCTCGGAGTCGGCCGCGGCCGCGGCCGCCATCTGCACGCGGGCGCGCGCTGGCGCGCCCTGGAGCCCGGCGCGGGCCAGAGCCAGCGCTCCGCGCGCGCCGCGCGCGCGCCGCGCTCGAGGCGCCCCCCGCCCCCCCTCCCCCACCTTTCCCTCCTCGCTTTCCTCTTCCCACCCATCCCTCCTCTCCCCTATGGGGCCAATTCGCCCCAAGCAAATATGCACTGGCCGTGGGTGAGCCGCAGGCGTGTGAACCTTATAAACGCGCTCTTGTACAGTGTATGTACACATCAATACGCATGTGCCCAATATGTGATAGATTTCGGCTATTGAACTGTGAGCGCATATTTTCCACTTGTATATCTGACTTCAACATGATATCAGATATACATATACATATATATATATGTATTTATATATATGTATATATATATATGTATATATATATATGTATATCTATATGTATGTGTGTCGACTGCAGTCGACCCCAACATAATATTGCATATTGTTTTGCACGCGCGACGTCACATGAACAAAAACAAAAAAGATTACACGTGCCACCCCGAAAACTGAAGGGCGAACACCAATTTCGCACTCGCATACACGAACACACAATACATTGCACAGTTCACACTATCAAACAACATGTAGCCTAACGCGAAAGTGCGAAGCATAACGCTTTTCGTATCGCGCGCAGTGTCCACCCCAGGCAACACGGAGTTCTATATTGTGACGCAGCGTATTTTCCTTATCTCGCGCGCGCTATAACAAACAATGAAGAATGCACATCTTAATTTCGAAAACTGAATGGTGAAAACCAATTGTTTCACTCGTATTCTGAAGGCCTCAGCCTGGAATTTTACATGTTGAAACATCATGTTTTCCTTATCGCGCGCGCGCGCCCTCTGGCGCGCGGGCAATATGGAAACCGCGTGATGGAGGCATTGGAAGTACGAATGAAACAGCTTGTTTTCACCATTAATTTTCCAGGGTGGCGCGTGTCATCTGTGATTTTTTCATATGGCGCCTTTTGCTTTTTTGTGTTGAGCGCGCGCGCGACAAGGAAAGCGCTGTGTTTGAGGATCGAGCATTCCATGTTGAGGTCACCAGAATACGAATGATACAATTGATTTTCACCATTGAGTTTTCGAACTTAAGATGGGCATTGCAGATATGTTGTTGTCGTGCACGCGCCGGAGCGCGCGCGAGTGCGTGATAAGAACGCGTGCTATTCGACTATGTATATTTCCATGCCAAGGCCTTCATAATACCAGTAAAACAGATGGTTTCATCATTCAGTTCTCGAATTTAACATGGAAGATTTATGTGCGTTATATAATGACATGCTTACGAACACTCAACATGTGGTGTTGTGTCTCCTGTATTTGTGTATCGAGCGCGTGTATTGTATTTGCAGAAGAAGCAGAGTTTCTACGGCCTGTTGTGATACTTGTTAGAACAACCAAGACATTTGACAAAAACCCAAGATATCTAACAAAAACAAGACATCTGACAAAAACCAGGACATCGCACAATCTGGAACAAAAACCAAGACAATCCACAAAAACCAAGACATTTCGCAGCTTTTTTTTTTTTTTTTTTTTTTTTTTTTTTTTTTTTTTTTTTTTTTTTTTTTTTTTTTTTTTTTTTTTTTTTTTTTAAAAAAAAAAAAAAAAAAAAAAAAAAAAACCTTCGGATGTCTGGATCGGTCAGTTTGGATGCGCCATGGGCCCCTTGACATGAGGACCATCGAGGAGTAATGAGAGATGTCCGCAAGCAAAGCTCGCGCCGGTGTCTTGAATTGAGCTCGCAGAACCAACGCTACCAAATAAATCACAATGGAGGAAGGCGTCGGCAAAGCGGTCTCCCGCCACGTCGGCCTCGTGGCCCGTCTTCCAGCGGTCGCTCGTCATTTGGTTGAAGACCCTCTTGTTAATCAGCTCGCAGGCCTTCCTCCAGCGGGCATCGATGCGCTCATCGGGCCCGAGATTGCACCCTGTCTGCTGGAGGTCCTTCTAGTCCTGGAGCAGCGGCGCAGTGGTCAATAGTCGCCGCAGCCCTCGTGGCCTCGGAGACGAATCCGCCCAATGGCGGAGGGTTCTCGACGAAACCTTTGAGGGTCCGTGCTGCACCGCTCAACTCGCCGAGGTTCTCCAGCTTGCGCCCCGCTTGTTTTCCTCCGCCTGCCTCCCAGAGGACCTTGCCACGGTCCGAGATGTCCCCGATGGCCTTCTCGCCTGCATTTGCCAGCCCCCCCCACCAAACTGTCGACCGGCACATGCTTCTCCTCATGGGGAGAATGCCGCGGGTTGCTACCGATCTGAAGAAGTTTGAGGATGGCCCCCCCCATCGTCTGGGGTGGCCCCCCCCCCGCGCGTGGTGAACGTAGCTCCTCCTCCTCCTCCTCCTCCTCCTCCTCCTCCTCCCTCCTCCTCCTCCTCCTCCCTCCTCCTCCTTCTCCTCCTCCTCCTAAGTCTACTACTACTACTACTACTACTGCTGCTACTACTACTACCACTACTACTACTACTACTACTACTACTACTACTGCTACGACGACTACTACTACTACTACTACTACTACTACTACTACGACTACGACTACGACTACGACTACGACTACGACTACGACTACGACTACGACTACGACTACGACTACTACTACTACTACTACTACTACTACTACTACGACTACTACTACTACTGCGACTGCCACCACTGCTACTAGCAACCCTCGAAGGGGCGGGGCGCGAGGGGGAAAGAGAGAGAGGGGGAAGGAGAGCGCAAAGAAGGGAAGTTGGAGAGGGTCGAAGGGTCGGAGGGGGAGGGGGGGCAGGGGAGCAGGAGAAGGCAGGAGGGTAGGAGGAGCAGGAGGGAGGGAGAGGGAGGAGGAGGGGAAAGGAGCGAGACCGACGATGGCTACGCCGTTATTGTTTTCCTGCTTTGCTGACCGTTAAAGCTGGGTGCGTACGTTGGTTCAGCTGTCTCGAGACTCGAGCGCGCTCGACACTGCTAAGTGGCTCATAGAACAGATAGCCCGCAGTCTGGCCATAAACCTTCCAGTGTCAACAGGTTCGCGCGCATCTATACACAGGGCGATCGGCTGGCCTTTCCTCCCTCCTCCTCCTTGTCCTCCTCCTCCTCCTCCTACTCCCCTCGTCCTCCTCGGGCTCCTCCTTCTTTTACTCCTCCTCCTCCTCCTCCTCGTCATCATCGTCGTCATCGTCATCGTCATCAACATCATCATCACCGCCTTTGAGCTCGCCTTCGCGAGCCCGCCTACATGAAGAGGTGGCTGCACCATTTCCACTGGGCCTTCAGCTCCTTGAGAGCGTGGGCTTTCTCATCGTCAGGTGTCTTGGTCTTGGTGGGCGGCCCGATGGGCACCTTCGATATCTGCTCGTTGATCTTAGGGCGCACCAGCTCCGTAGACGTCGGGACGCAGTCCTTGTCGGGAACCGGGCTGAAGAGCCTGACGGAGACTTAGGTCAGGATCGGAACGCCGGCGGAGTACTTGAACTCGAAAGGGGCAGTCGACGTCACGACCTCCGTCGTCGCCGCCTGGCCCTTTGTCATCTGCCTCACCAGCCAAGCTGGGCGCAGGGTGTCGGCGGCATCCACGTTCTCGCACTCGCCATTGCCCGCAGAGACGTAGAACTTCGCGCCGAAGGCCTCGCGCAGCGGGAGAGCTCCGACCGTGGGCGTCTGCGAGACACGGCCGCAAAAGCTGAGGCGCAGATTTTTAGGCATCTGCTCCACTTTGATCTTGATGGGTTTCACCTTGGGGGCGATCTTGACGCAGTCCAAGCGCGCGTCTGGCCTGAAACTCACAGTCTTTGTCTCCTTGTCCTTGTCCTCAGTCTTGGCGTTGAAGACGCCATTGATATTCGCGAACAGCCACCCCTCAATCGTCTTCGCGAAGACCTTGATGACGGCGCCGGCGGCTCCCTGGCTCGAGATCCTCGACATATTCAAACGGAGCGTAGAGATCGATAACCACTCATCCTCATCGGATTTCTGCTCGGACTTCATCTCGGACTTCTGCTCGCCCTTCTTCTGCGTCTCGCCCGCCTCCGCCTTGATTGTCGAATCCTGCGCCGTCTCAACCGCGGCCGAAGCCTGAGACTCAGAGTCGCCGCCCTTGTGTTGGAGGAGAACTTTGTCGAGGTCCGATGCCGAATAGCTGCCCGCGAAGACGGAGTTCACGTTGGCGTGGCTGTCGACCCATTTCTCCCCCTCGCTGCTGCCCAAGGCGCAATCCATGGCTCCGATGTCTGCGACGCGGTTGCTGGTCTCCTTGACGCACGCGCCGCAGTCTTCAACCGTCACGCGGTGCGCCCCAGACGCCATGGCATCCAAGATCTCGCGAAGGTAGCAAACCCTGAGAGACATGACCTTCGTCAAGGCGTCGCTGTCCTCGATGGTGCCGTGGGAGAGTAGGTTCACAGGCGTGGTCTTGTTAGCCACGGCAAGCTCGCAGACCCCCCGGACGAACTCGAACGTGCGCTTCGGGAACACTTCTGACGTCACCTCGAACACGATGAAGAGAAGGGCCCTCGAAGTAAGTTGCTTAGGCGAGGCATCTGCACCATCGTTCTCAGCAATCCGTCTGCCCACTTCGTCTTGAATGGGCGCGAACGCTGGATGAATCAAACCCTTAAGCTTCAAATTGTTTGTGTTCGGGAAGTTGCTCAGTGACAGGATGAATGACTGATCCTTGAACTCTCCGATCACAGCGTCCACCTTCTCGTTCTGGAGATCATCGGGGACCGAGGAGGGCACGTCTGTCTCTTGCCCGAGCATCGCGACCACTGCGCCGGCGACCTCGGAGGAAGATGCAGCGTCGCTGACGGCAGACGGCGCCTGCTCCCTGTAGACCGCCATGTGGGCTTTGATGATCTCCTGCTGCAAGGCTGGCCTCATCGCACTCCACGCCACGAAGTCCTGAAAGGGAGGAGGATGAGGAAGTCTGAGGAGGAGGGGGAGGAGGAGGAGGAGAAAGGGTGAGGAGGAGGAGAGGAGGAGGGAGGACGAGGAGGGGGAGGGGGAGGGGGAGGGGCACAAGGACGACAAGGACGAGGACAAAGAAGATGAGGAGGTGGGGGATGAGGAGGAGGCGGCAGCGGCAGAGGAGAAGGAGGAGGAGCAGGATGACAGGGATAGGAGGCAGAGACGAGATAACAAGACGAGGAGGAGGGAGAGTTGGGAGGGATGTTCGCCCTTGCCGTTGAGCGTGGCGGTGCCCACGAAGCAGAACTCGAGGCCTATGCTCAGCTGACGGCGCACGGATGCCCAGTCGATCTTGTTCGCGCTGACGTACTTCAGGGGAAACTCCACGCGCGCCACCAAATCCCCCAGGAAGACCTTGTCGCGGCCGGGCACGCTGCTGAGGCTCAAGTCCTCAGTTGCACACGGGTTTGCTGGGCTTGCTTTGACCTTGGCCTTGCCCTTAGCCTCCCCCTTGGCTTTTGCCTTGGCTTTGGGCGCAGCCGTCTCCCCCTCGACGTCCTCGGTCTGGGCCTTCCTCTTCTTCGACGCCGCCTCGAACTTCTGGTGCACTTTGCTGAGGCTGGCCATCGGGCAGAGCAAGCGCCTGAGAAAATCCTTGTGCCCCGGCTCGCGGACGATCCACGGGGTCGAACGGCGACCAGGCCTCTCCAGCAACGGAATGGTGAACTTGACCAGCTCGACCATGACAGAGGTATGCAAATCCTTCTGCAGCTAGCCTTTGAAGTTCTTGTCAAGAATGACGCAGATCTCCCTGAGCAGGGTCGCGACTATCCCGTTGTCGAGGTTCGAGTTGGTGAAATCGCATTCGTCTTCTGCGAACTTGAGGAACTCGTCCAACGCCAAGCAGTCGTTCATCATGTGGACCGCCGTCTCAGTACTATCGCACTGGAACCAATGTTTGAATATCTGTGGGAAATTTTCCTCGATGAACCTCTCGTGGACCGTCTCATAGCGGAACTCACCTGAGGAAGGGCAGCTCCTAACGGTAATGGTGTGCTTCGTCCGGTGGGCAGCCCGCTGCGCCCCCCCCTTCGGTATCTCCATCAGCATCTCCACCAAGTTGAAGGCCGACCCGCGGTGCCAGCGATTGGCTTCGTTCATGAACCACTCGATGGAGTCTGGCGGCATCGACTTGCTCCAGATGTAAACCCCAGAGAAGCCTTCCGAAATAATCCCCCTCGCGTGCTCATTGCTCGGATCTTGTTCGTGCGCCATGTAAAAGGCCCCCACCAGCGTCGCACCGCCGATCATGGAGCAGCGGTGGGGAGCATCTGTTTCCACCGCCTGCGCCCGGCCTCGCATGTCCTCCAGCGCGCCCTCTTGCAGGAGGCTCTGGCAGTAGTTGATCACGACGGCCATTTGCTTGCGGGGGTTCAGGCGGCGCCTCGAAAGCGCACGGACCCCGACGTCAGCAATCTGCTGCTCTGGCCCCCATCGCCCTTCATCTGCTCGGTCTGCTTAACGAGCGGAAAGACGACTTGATTGCGGCTCACCGCGTAGTGTTTGATGTAGAGCTGGTACCTCAGCGAGCCTTTCACTTGCTTGAAGCGATACTCGTTGTTGAGACGAGGTCCGTACAACATGTCTTTGGCAACGGCTCCAGTCGGGCCATTGTTCAGGACGTTGAGTATCTCCTGGCCGGCCAATTCACTGGCGGTCTCCATCGCAGATGGGCTTGGCGAGCTCATGGCAAGCCGAGTGCCGTCGGTTGCGTGATGCGCGGGAAGCTCGGTGCGTTGCTGAAAACTTGGAAGCTCCAAAAGGCCAAAACGGCAACGAGGGAGGCGGACGAGAGGGATGGAGTGGAGGGTGGAGAGAGAGGGAGGAGCGGAAGAAGGAGGAGTGGATTGCCCACTGCCCTCCACGAACTGCCCGCGACTTCGAGGAGCTCTGAGCTCGGGCTGACTGGGATGCAGGAGCGCTCGCCTTGCCTCCTCCATCTCCCTCCCTTGGTGTCCTCTGTGGTGCGTGTATGTGTGTGTGTGCTGTTTGTGCTGTGTTCGTGCATGTGCCGTGTGAGTGCTGCGCGGTGGCGATGCGCGCCCCTGCCCCGAATCGAGCCCTTGGGCCCGGTTGACGCCAAACGGCCAAACGACCCCAGCTCAGACCCCATAACTATTCGACTAAGATTTGTTAGTTGTTTCATTGTTTCGGTTGCGTTGTTGCTTTTTCTCCCCCCCTCCTCCTCCATCCGCCCCTCTACTTCCTACGATGCCTACGATTGAGCTTCTGCTTGATTGTTTTTGAGCTCGGCTCGGCGCGTGTTTTACATCCTATCGCCCTGTCTAGTGAGTCACGCGTTGAACCGCACCCTGGGTGGAGGGGCTAGCGGCCAAGGGCAAGTAGCTTTGGCCGGAGGGGCGGTCACTGCAGCCACTGTGGCCCCCTCATCATGAGCCTCCGCGATGCTCGGCAAGGGTTTGGCAGGAGCGAGCGACTGCCACGACGACGCCGAAGCGCTGGCGAGCGAAGGCGGCGGGGCCGGGGGGGCCTTGCGTGGCGGCTCATACTCATAGAGCTCAGACTTCCGAGTATGCCAGGCATGCCAGTCCAGCTCTTCCTCTATCGTGTAGTAGTCCGCCATGCCCTCTGGGACCGATAGCTGCGATGGGAAGCGCCCACGTATTTCCCACGACATGTCTGACAGGAAGCTCTTGGCCGACTTGATCTTCTGCATGGCCTTGTTCGCGCACTCGATCTGATAGCCAATGTACTGCTGGGACTGCGCCCTCTCGATCTCCTCGCGCGGCTCCAAGGGCGGGGACGGAACCATGATGCGGGACTGCGAGGCCAACAGGCGATGCTCGCGCTGGCGAAGCCTCCACCATATATGACCAAAGTTCCTATCTTCATCCTCGAACACCTGCGCTGTGCTTCTCAACGATTCGTCAATCTTTTTGAACTTCTCGAAAGGCGTGCCGAGCAAGTCCTGCATGGCGA